CTGCTGGGCTGCAGCCGAGGGAGTCGGCCTCCTGCAGCCGTCTAAAGCCACGGGCAACCTGCAACCAAGGTAAGAGCTGCTTGCGACAAAAACAAGATCAGCCAGATCATTGAGAGCTCCAGGTCTGTGTGTGGCCAGAAGCAATGGGGGAAGGTGAAAGTGGATGGAGGTGACAGCCCCCCTCCTAAGATGTCACAGGAGAAAGAGGAGAAGCAGAGAGGTTTGCCTACCATCCCCTGATTAGTCATGTCAGCAAGTCTCCACAACCAGCCTGTTGCACATGCCACTGCTTTGGGACCGCACAAAAAGCATGGTTTAATTACAGATAGGAGCAATGGGTATAAGTTTTTTGTACTTTCACCAGTAGATCTCAAAGTGCTTCACTGAAGTCAGGCATCATCCCCATTGCATAGGTGGGGAAATAGGCCCAGAGACAGGTGTGCCAAAGGTCATCGTGCAGCAGGAGAGTGGTGGATCCAGGGGACAGAGCCCAGGCCTCCCAGTCCCAGACCAGCAAAGCGTTCTCTAAACCATGCTGTCTCCCTCCGAGTGATGGGATGCCATGGGATCTGGTGGACAGGGGGCTCCTGGCTCTGCCACTGATCTACTACATCACCGTGGCCATGTTGCTTCCCCCACCCAATGCTTTGGTTTCTCCCATCAGTAAAATGCAGACAGTGACAGCGACTTCCAGGGCAGAGCGCTCTGGGGTCTGGATAATCCATGCCGTACAAAAGCTAGTCACAATTCAAACCTCAGACAAGTAAGGAGCACGGCAGCACAGGCACCATGGAGCTACCCCATTGAAAGCAGGGGAAAAAGCGAGGCCAAGTTTGGTAGGACACCAGCTCCCTCGTGTGGGTGTCCAGGCACCTCGAGCACGCCAGTCGCCAGCGTTGCTTTCAGGCAGAGGTGAGATTTCTCATCTGCACCCGGCAGACACTGCTGAAGAGCCCTGGAGCACATGGGCAGACAGCCAAGAGCCATCCCTTAGCTGGCAGAGCCCCCCCGTTCTGGCTGCTGGGCTTTCCAGGCCAGGTTCAGGCCTTCTTGTTATTGGAAGCTGCAACCAGGGGCACTTGGAGGGGAGTCACCACCTCCCTCCTGGGCCTGGGGGGAGGCTCTTCCACCCTCTGCCCAGGGCTGCCTGGAGTTGCACCCAATACTCATTCTGTATAGCCAAGAGCTACTTAGTGCAATTAAATCAAACGTACCCCATAAATGCTCCAGCAGGCCCTGGCCATGGTCACAGCAGCTCCCGCGGGCGCAGGGACACCCATTCAGTTCCACTTGGAAATGCGGTTCGGTCATTTCCACTACTTCCACGTTAGTCTCTGCCCACCACAAGGACTTTTCACGTCTATAAGCCCCAACAGGTCTCCCTGTACTCCTCGGGGTCCACAGGCCCAGAGCTACCCTCACTGGCACCAAGAAGCAGGGCCTGTGGCAGGGCAGCAACACGGCCCTTTTGTCTGGGCTCTTCCCTGGTCACCAGCAGCACAAGAGATTGGGGCAGGACTCAGTGACCCCCGACTACTCACCTGTCCCAGACTCTTGCGGGACAGACGACTACTCATCGAGCAGTAATAAAGCGCTACTCATCTGTCCCTTAGGGGCTAATTGAGTAATTTAGAGCAGCCAACTCTTGATGGGGGGCCAGCTTCTCCCTCCATGATCCGACACGTGCATTTTACTATCTTCACTTCATTCGGCCACGCACTGCACCATCTTTAAGGATGCCTGCGAACAGGCATTTCAGCCCCCCCCACAAAGACCCGACAGGCTGGGCAGAGGCACCGATGAAGGCACATAGCTAAACACGCACAGCAATCGGCACAGGTCGGACTGGATCCACAGGAGCAGCGGGGGTGTGCGCATGGGGGAGGGCATCTTTCTTTCTCCGTACTCCCCTAGTTATTCTATCCCTCCAGCCACCTCTCGCCCTCCCTCCCAAACTCAGTACCGGAGGTTACAGGAGCCACTCGCGCACCCTGGTTCCAGCATCTTTGCTCCCTGCTCATGAGCGAACGCCCTCCCCAGCCCACTTCAGATCCAGGACCCCCCAGCACAAACCTGTGCGACCCTATCCCAGCCTTCATGGGTCTGCGCCAGCCCCAAGTATCAGGCAGGTTTCAACTCCAGTCCCTGACTCGAACCGCTGAACTCCACCCTCCGCAGTTTAACGACTGCCCTTCACCCAAAGGAAGGGCGTCAAGGGCTGCTTGGCCACTTGCTCTTTGGGGCAGCCGGGTTTGCAGACCCTCTTGCTGGGTGGCAAGGCCTGGCTACTATTCACATTCAAAATGGGCCTGGAGAAGCAAAGCCACCTTTTACCCTATTTCTGCTTCCCCCAGGCCCTTCCTCATGATCACAAAGGGAGGAGGTGGCAGCTAGCAGCTGAGCTCCATTCATCACTTAAAGTGGCATCAGGGATGCAGAAGAGGACCCCCTTCAAAAGCACTCAGGAAGGGCTCCCAGATCTCTTGCCAACTTGGTCTTTCTCCGTAGCTCCGGGCACGTAACAGCCTGACCAAGGAAACCTACTGCATCGTATCACAGGCAGCCCTTATTCCTGCTGATCCCCCTCCAGCTCAGTGCCCTGTGACAGCCGCTAGCTCAGCCCTCCAAGTCACACCTGCTCAGACAACCACTTTCAAGAGGCGGCTTTGCCCTGCTTCTGGCCTGAGAGCTTGGTAACGCAGGCCAGGTGCAGCTGGTTAGCCTGAAGACACATTTCACCTGGATGCCTCTTCTCCTCTCCCAGGGCCCACTGCAGTCCCAGATCCCTGTAGCAGCTTTTCCTGTGGGGCTCTGGCTTTTCTTATAAACCAGGGCTCTGGGAGCCCAAGGGGTTTTCTCTGTTCCAAGGGGCTTCAGTTTGGGTGAGGAGGGAAGGAGACCATCTCTTAAAGGCCCCTAGGATGTAGTGCCAGAAGCTGGTGGGCTCTTGTTGCAGTGGCAGCCCTGTGAAGCAGGTGAGCGGATGGGGATGATTTGGGCTGGGTTCTCTTTCTGTTGGGACACATCCCTTGTTGGTACCCTTCACCTGCTTGGGTACAGCAGTGGCTTCTGCCAAGGTGGGATGTGTGCCCGGGTGCCCCAGCTGCAGGTCTCCTTGGTGGAAAGTGTTTGAACAGCTTCTGATTGTTGTTTCTGTCTTGTAACCTCCCAGATGAAGTGCCATGTTGTCCCGTAGCTCCATGGTGGCCCTGGGGCTCGGCTCTGAGCCCAGCTGCAGCACCCCAGTCCAGGTGCAAGCAAACCCCTTCTCTGCCCTGCACTTGCTTCCGCGCAGGAGCTCGCTCCTTCCCCCGCTCAGCCAGGAGGACTTCTTCGAGAGCTTCGATGGGTACGTGTGTCCTTGCAAGGGTCACTGGTGTGGTATTGCCAACTCGCATGATTTTTTGGCACTGTTGTCAAAGGCTATGCTTTGGGAATGTGAAAAACTTAGCTCTTTCTTTTATATATGTCTATATCTACAAGAGAGCGCCACGTCTTCCATGTTCCCAAAGCGCAGATGATGAGAACAATGCTAAAAATCATGAGCGTTGGCCATGCTGCTGTTGGACTCTTGTACTGACCTTTCAGTGTGGCTCAGGGGTCTGTAGATCCTTGCTGGATCCAAGAGCAGCGATGAGGTTTATCGCTTGGGTGCTTGCAGTGGAGTGGATTCCTGTGGGGATCTGGTGCATTCATCGCATGTATGCTTGCTAGGTTTGTGGGAAGTGGAAGCGATTCTTGTATTGAGTAGGAGAAACTTCCTTCTAGTCGATTCTTCCAAGGTGCCCTTGTGTCCCATCTCCCTAGGGTGCCCATGTGGCAGGGACCTGGGCATGCCAGGGTAGGTCTGGAGCCGTGTTCATGGGCTACTCTTTCTCCGTAGATGGCCTCCATGCTGCTCAGCCTGCAGCACTGCAATGTGAGAGATCAAGGCTTTTGCTTCCAAAGAAGTAGGAGGCAACCTGATTTCCAGGACACAAGGGAGCGGGGAGGTGTGGAGCACAAGTTTCTTGGGGGTGCGGGGGGGGAAACTCCTTTTGGAGTTGTGAAAGACACTCTGACACAATATGCCAATGGATCCTGTTTAAGTCTCCGGCTGCTGGGGAGGAATTTAGGTTGGTACCCAAGTGATGCCGGTAAGCCGGCTCATCTCTGTAGTTCCTACTGTAACTGTTCCCGTTCCGGCGTGGCTTGCCAAGCCTCGTGCAAGCGCAGCTAGTTTATACTCTGTGTGTGTGTCCCGGCTAGGAGGGTCACTAACCTTGCACGGGATCCTTGCTCTCTCGTTCCTAGGAGCTTCTATGATGTGAATGATATTTTTGGGGCTGACTCATTTGAGTGCGACTGCTCCGTGCCCGATTCGCAGCTGATCAAGAGGATCGTTTCTCAAGTGGAGTTCTACTTGTCTGATGAGAACCTCGCCAAGGATGCCTTCCTCCTGAAGCATGTCCAGAAGAACAAGATGGGTTTTGTGAGCATCAAACTACTGACCTCTTTCAAGAAGGTGGGTAGAGCCTGGCACGCCCAGGAAGAGGCCCAAAGGTAAAGGGAAGATAGTCCTGGGCCTAAATATCAAAGCCAGTTATGAGCAGCCAAGTCAACGTATTGATGCCTTGTGCAGTCCCCGTAGTGCATCTTGCCCAGCTCTGCCAAAGCTTGCAAGAGGGCTGGGGTTAAACTGGGTTGCCTCACCTCTACCCTGCCCCTCCAGACCGAGACGGGGCTCCTCTCCCATATCTAACTAACCATGCTAAGTTGCTGGTTGCTACTAACTGATTGCTACCATAGCGTGGGGGTAAGTGGAAGTGAGTGGTTTGCAAAGTACTTCAGGATTTTTCCAGATGAAGGTGCCTATGCAGATATTGCAACTTCTTTTTGAAAATTGTTATCAAAAAAGGCCCCTTCATAGGCTTCAAAGAAGAGAAACGGCCTAGGAAAGAAGTAACATTGATATTTTATTTATTTTTCCCTCCAGGAATCACTGGGTTGATTTTAAAATAAACTTTCAGATGTCCTAGGCACCTCCTTGGCAGCTTAGCTTTAACTGTAGGGTAACGCTTTTCCAAATGCAAGGCTAAATGGCCAGATTTAACCTGCCCTTTATGGCAGTCTAGATGGTCCACCTCTAGCTCTGTTCCGCCCAAACCCCCAAGTCTCTGTAACTTGAAACAAAACTATAAGCAGCCTGAGATCTTGGTTTATTCTTGGCCGGTCTGTTCTTGGCGCCCTGCTTTATCTAGGACCCGGGGTTTTACTGGGCGGTGTCGGTGACCGCTTCCCTCCCGCGGTCACTAAAGGCACACGAGCCCCTTGGTAAAGCATGCTCCACTTGCCAGCTCATGTGTCCTAGTGTGACGAAGAGGAGGGGAGAAGGCCACGCTTTCCATGGGCTGAGCTGATCAGGGCCTCTGACCTGTGTAGGTGTCTATCCAGGCACCTCCTTGTTCTTGGCGATACTCGAAGGAAAATGATGCTTACCTTCTCCTGCAACAGGTGAAATACCTCACCCGAGACTGGCGGCTCACTCTGTATGCCCTGCATTTCTCAGAGCTCCTAGAAGTGAATGAGGAAGGGACCAAGGTGAGGCGGAGAAACCCCATCCCAGAGTCTCTCCTGAGCATCCCACCGAGCAAGCTGCTCCTGGCCTGGAACCGCCTGCCCCACGAGCAAGCCCTGTCCCTGCCGCTCCAAAAGAGCTTCATCGAGACCATCACCAAGATGTTCAGCCCGTTCGGTGCCATCACCTCCATCCGCATCCTGCGGCCCGGCAAGAAGCTGCCGTCGGACGTGAAGAAGTATTCCTTCCGCTACCCCGAGCTGCTGACCAAGTGCTGTGCCTTGGTGGAGTACGAGAGCCTGGAGAACGCTAGGAAGGCCTACGAGGAGCTGAACCACAGCCAGGGCTCGCTGGGCATCAAGGTGGTCCGTCTCTCGGGGAAAGGCTCCAAGAAGAAGAGCGGGGCTGAGCAAGAGGAGGAGGTGGAGCTGGCTGGCAAGCCAGGCTGGAAGCCGCAGGCATCACCGGCATCGGAGAAGATGCCGTGTAGCACGGGAGACTCCTTCTTCTGCAGCTCCTCCGAGTCCGACAGCACACCAACTTCCCCTCCTGTGCTAATGCAGCAGTATCTCTCTTCTCCGGCGTGGCCCGCCAGCAGCCTCTGCAGCTTGGGGGCAAGCTTCAAACCCTGCTTCTTCAGCACCCCGTACTCCAGCCCTCTTCTCTCCGGTAAAGCCCTCCAGTGCCCTTCATCGCTGGCCGCCGAGCTGGGGAACGGAGGACCGTCCAGCCTGAGCGCGAGCCCCGAGTACCACCGATTTTCTGACTCCTGCTGGGACAGCGGGATCGGGTCTGGCAGCTCGTGGGTGCAGCGGCGACGCGCGGCGGCTCAGAGCCCACCTCTGGAAACCAAACCTCTACTCTGCAGCCCTCTGGCGGCGAGGAAGGTGCCCGATTCCTTTGGCCTTCGACCGGGTGTGATCCGCCTGCCCCATGGGCCGGATGGGACCAAAGGCTTCTACAGCAGCATCGGGCGAGGGAAGCTGGTCCTGAGGCACTGATGCTACCGCTGCTGCTTCTCTCAAGTAACGTAACCTCTCTAAATTTTTTTTTTTTTTTCCCCACCCCACCCTCCTGGAACATTTTGATTATCTGCTAATGATGTAAGTGCAGCCACTTAGGAAGCTGGAGTGTGAAGTCTTGGCAACTTAGGGATTAGGAGGAGCTTGCAGTGAGTCGGCTGGCAAGGTGAGATGCTGAGGCTGATGTATCGAGCCACCATGCCCAGCCAGCATGGCTGCTTCTGTCTCGGTGCTGTCTAGTATCTAGACACCTTCTAAAATATCCCAGCTCTCTAGCTGAGACTGGTGACGGCTTGGGGCCCAGAGTGAACTATAACGCTTGGCTAGTAACTGCAGACGTATCTCAACCTGCACCTATTGCAAGCAAGACTCAATGGCTTGTTCCTCTGTCCGATCCAATAATGTTGCCTCCGGTGCTCTGAGCAATGCATCACGTTGGGGGTTTCCACCCCGCTGGTTCTTGATCTTCGGCTTGTGCGACCAGGCCGGAGGAGGAGGTAACGGTGCTGCAGAGCTGTAGTAGTAGGTTGTTTCTTGTGGGGGTGGGTGGGACTTGTCTGTAATTTGGCAAAAGAGGTTACGGAGATCAAATGTTAAAATGATCAATAAAGAGAGTGGAAGTGTTCCAGGCACATGTGGTAGCACTCCAGCTGTTGCTTCCTCGTTGAACACTTTCACAAGAGCCCTCTCTGGGGCTGCAAACTGTGTGTGTGTGTGTGTGTGTGTGTGTGTGTGTGTGTGTGTGTGTGTGTGTGTGTGTGTGTGTGTGTGTGGCTCATGGCACCAATAAAACTGATTGTGATCTGATACCTGCACACTTGGATGTAGGAGAAACTTCTTCCTTAGTGACCTGAGGCCTCTGACACACCCAGCGCACCATTCTTACTCCATCCAGCTAACACCTGACAAGTTTGGGATGAGAAGGGGAAACTTTTTTCTTTCTCCTCCAGCCTCTCTCCCCATCTCCAAATGCATTCAATTCAAATCCGTCTGATTGGATTAATGGGAAGTGCTAGTCCCTGGGTTAGTTGATGCTTTTAATGAGAACAGTCAATATTTCTTTGATCAGCTCTGCTCAAACACCTAAGGCCATGGTTGTATTATAGCAACATGGTGCAGGCTTTCCAGGACCGTCCTGGACTTCTAGTGTCCCCAGAGCAAGACTTTCATCCCAAGCTTGAAAAGCTGATCTGGGACCATTGCTGGGTCCTCTTCTGCTGTATCTGTGTAGATGTAGACTCCTACCTATCTGCCTGGCACAAGGGAAATGTGGCTGTGCTGCTTTTGCATTGGGAAGCAGCCACTGTCTACCTCTGTTTAGCTTAACCAGCTCCTACGCCTTGCCGCTGTGCGCCAAATGCACGTGGCAGTGCATGTGGGCACAGCACTGGGGATCACAACTGCTGCTTCCTACTCTCAAAAAGAAATAAGAGCCTTTGAAACATTGGGGTCCAGCCTAAAATGATTTTAGCACTCTAAAATTTATTTGTGGACTTAGGACCGTAGCTGAGCTGGTCCTAGGGTGGAGCTCTGACTGCTGGCTGCTCTGGGAAGAAGAGCGGGGCCCAAACTGCTGCTTGCTCCAAGGAGGATGCGCCTTACCACCCCTTTAAACTGGCTGCGGTTGGCTTTCACACCCTTTGCACGTTGCGACTGCGGTAGCATAGGATGGATGGACTCTGCGTTCATCGCATAGCAAGGGGCCAGGTTGTACAGGGCTTTTCAGACCTTAGATTTTGCCTGGAAACCGGTCTTGTGGTGATTTCTCTGCAGGAGGCAATTTCCTAGTGCAGAGGAAGGGCCAGCTGTGTGGTCTCTCTGAGCCAGAGACTGGTCTCCAGCAGCACCCAGTTCTTGATGCTTCAGAGGAAAGTGCAATGTGGGGGGGGGCTAGTTTCTTTAACTTCTGAGGCTGCATTAAAAGAAAAATTGGGTGGGTGGGGGCTTTCTCCCCAGCTGAAACCACCTCCCTGCACCCCCAACTTGCACAGCAGCTGGAGGGATCTGCAATGAGATGTCACCTCCATCCCTTCCACTTCCAAAAAGCAGCCGGAGTGGCTCGGATCCAGAGAAGACTATAGCTACTCCCACGGTTGTCATGGGAGCTATGTGATACTGAGCTCGCTCATGAGGGTCCCTGGCTGAATTATAATCCTCGGGGACTCCAATGGCTGGGGGTAGGAGCAGATCAGTCGGCCCTCCTGGGCCACTAGCTAGTGCCAGCCCCAGGCTCCATCCTCTTACGGCTGGGAGCGGGACCGGTCTGCCTCACCCAGGCCCCTGTTGCCTCCTGGAGCCTTTTTCGGGTGGAAGCAGCTGCTTCCTCTGCCCACCCAGTTCCCCCTCTATGCTGCACAGCAAGAGGAAGAAAGGGATATTTCTTCCTAGCTGCCCCCTCTGGCCATAGGCGCCTGGCTCAGCATCGTGGCCCTGGGGCCTTGTTGCCTGCCCGGGACCGATCTTGTGAAACTTCATACTGGCTTTGTCCTAATCTGGGGTCTGTGGGTGAGGGGGGACATAGACAGCAGCACAGAGGAGCTGCTGTGGGGGAAGTCATAGGCTCCAGATGGTAATTCGGCTCCTGCAGCTTGGGGCAGTGGGGTTTATACCTTGCCCGCTAGAAGAGCTTGGCAGGAAGAGTTCAAACTACTGGGCAGAGAGCCTCAATCCTCATGTGCTCTGGGACTGCACGACCTTGATGGCTGCTTTACCACCAAGACCCTGCTGTCACTCCCATTACAGGCCCAGCTGGGCGCTCTGCTCCCAGGCTGTCCTGGCTTGCTGGAGGGAGTCTCCCCTTGCTGATGCTCCTGTTCCCCCGTGCCCTGCACCTTGACCCCGGTGTAAGGCGGACGTACAGTGCTACAGCAGCCCCGGCTGTCACGGCACCAGTTCACTTCCCCAGGGACCTTCTGCACCTCGCTGCCTGTAACGTGGCCCAGGAACAACTTTTGTGCAACTGGTCTGAATGAGCTGCGTGTCTCTATTCTAGGACAGGGCTGTCCAGCTAGTGGTCCATGGGCATAATGAGCCCCCAAGGATTAATCTGAGGCCTTCCAGGCTTCCAGTCTTGGTGCCAGTCCCTTCAATGCTCTCCTGCTGCTCCTGCCAGATTCCCTCTTTCAGCTTTTGCTGCCTGCCCCACCCTTGGCAGAGGGGAAGGGTGGCACAGTGCAGCCTGCAGGGCCAAGCAGCCCATAGCCAGGGGTCCCCATGCTGTATATTGGGTGGGGGGAGGCAGAGAGGGCAATGTGGGATGGAGGCCACGCAGCATGCAGCTGGGGTGAGGAATTGTGGCCCCCAGAGACAGACAGGCCTGTTCTAGGAGAACATGAATAACTCGGGCCACGTTGGCCAGCTGCACTGTCTATAAATCCCTGTGAACAGCTAATTTGGGACTTGGCATTTAACTCTCCTACATGCTTGGCTGTTGCATCCACTTAGTCCTTTCTACACCATGCTCCCCTGTGTTGCACCCTGAGTTTGGCCCTTGCAATTCTCTCACAGACGCAGAGTATTTCCAAACAGATCGCTTTTAATGGGAGAATAAAAGGAATGTCCGTTCTGATCAAGTCATTCATTGCAAGCAGCGGGGCTACCCCAGCCCAGGATTGCTTCTGTACAGTCCGAGGGAAGGTGCCAGTCAGACAGCTGGCGTGGGGCAGTCCTGTCCCTGGGCCATGCAGCTCTTCTGCGCAGAACAAGCTTTGCATTTGCTGGCTCTGTGTTTGCCTTTCTTAGCAGATGGGTTACTTCGCTGCTTTTTCCTCTGGGGCTCCTGCAGGCCATCCAGGAGCGATGCACAGTTTTGGGGAGCTGGTAGCACCCGTCCTAACTCCCACTTTGGTTCCTCATCACTGGTTTTGATGTCATAGAAATAATCTAGGCTCGCCACTGTGGTTAAAATCTCTGGCACGCTGTAGGCACAGGACAGCAGCTCCTCGGGCAGCTTCAGCGAGCTTAAGTCTTCGCATGGGAAGTCGCAGTCTTTCCTCTTCCTCTCACTGGGCTCAGGGGGGGCGCTCAAGTTGTCCTTGGGGACCTCGGAGTCCGAGTTAGCTGGAGAGCAACCAAAGAGTTTCATTGCATCTTCCAGCAAAACCTTCTCGGGCAGGTCAAAGGGTTTTTGTGCGTCCGCTGTTTCTCTTTCTTCAGCTGCAATGCCGTCCGGTAGAGGACAGGGCGTCCCCCCTGGCACCACCTGTGCATTTTCAGCACTGGTGCTCGGAAGGGGATTTTGCTCTTCCATGCACACGTCTGGGGTCTGAGGGTTGGCTAGGAGGTTCTGGATCGCATGATTTTCTTGGAGGTCTCTCCCCTCGGCTTGGTAACCATCAAACACTTGGAAATCCAGGTGGTGACTTGGGTCAGGGTTGGTTGTCTGATTTAGCCTTTCCTCCAGGTGGTTGAGGGTGCCGACTTGGATGGGGGTCTCATTCTGGTTCAGGCCAGGCAATGTGATGAGGAGCTGGGGTAGTTTGTGGTCGCTCTTCTGAATTTGGCCTTCTTCCTGGAGATGAGGCACCTCAATGAGCTGAGAGTCGTGAAGTGGGTTGGGGACAAAATTAACTTGTTCTGTGACGCTGGTGAGGCCCTCTTGATTGAAAAAAGGCATGATGTATTGGGGGTTGCTCGGGATTTGCTGGTAATGTGGGTACGGGACGGTCTGTGCAGGGCTCTTGAGGTATCTCTGAGCATCCAGGAGGTACGGGCTCTGCACATTCGAGCCGCTGGGGAGCTTATAAACAGATGGCTGCACAAAATTGGCCGTTGCCCATTCTATACGGTATATCCTGGGATCGAAGAAACATCCGCAGGGAGCCATCTGGAAACCTGGGCAATAGAAATAAAAACATCATTTTAAGCATCCAGCTTGACTGAACCCAGCCCTCCCAATTATGGGGCAAATGCCTAATGTAAATTGGTGCTGGTCTGTTGATTTCAATGAGGTTATGTCGATTTATGCCAGCTAAGGATCCAGTGTTGCATATCAGAGTCAAATTAGGCACCAAGGTCTGGTCTACACTACATAGTTTTCCTGGCATGGCTATGGCAGCTGTGGCCCCATAATGTAGAGAAGCCCATGGGATAACCTGGTCCAGGTCTGGTGTTTCTGGTCTGCACGACCAACTTGGGCATTCAGCTGGGCATAGGACTGGAAAATCAGAGTAGATGCTACACCAAGTCCGGTGTTTGAGATAAAATAAGAGGGCATAAGGCAAAGTAGGTCTTCTCCGAGGGCACCAGAAAGTTGCACATTATAATGTTCAGCCCAGCTTGCTGGGCCTGACTCTTTACTACCCACCGCTGGCACAGCCAGGACCTTCAAAGGGAGTTATGAACTTCACTCGTATGCCAAGTTCGGCCTTAATTCCTCTGCTGTGTGTCCCATACCTGCAGGCGGCGACACGAGAACGTCTTTCTCTTGGCTGGGGGTCTGATACAGGTTGGATGTTCCTGAAACAGTAACACGGGAGTTCACGTCACCACCACGAGGAACCGCCACTTTATCCGGCGAACCGTTCGAAAGCGTGAACTAACGCAAACTTCAAAGGATTAGAGAAAATGGGGAAAAGAGGAAGGCCCCGGAGAGCAACTAGCAGTAGGCTACATCCACAGGCCCAGGGGAGAA